TTATGTGGCAGGAGAAAAAAGGTGGGGGGGGGCAAGACGGGGGAGGGAGGGAGGGAGGCCAGGAGGGTGGGAGAAGAGTAAATTGAACCTTCGCGAGACCAAGCCGTAGAAACTAATCACTCAATCTTGCGGGGCGCTCTTTTTCCTGCTTCAGCACAATATACGTACTTTGGCGCGGGCCCGTCGCACTGGGAACCGCAACACCGAGCCAAAACTATCAGCGGGACATACTACAACGACAACGACGGCAGCGACAGCCATTAAAAAACATTGCTGGGACGAGCGCCGTGGACTTTCCGTAGAACGAAAGCCCTGAATATGGTCACACAAACGTAGGCGTTCAATCGCAGGTCGGAGAAACAAAACAACAGCAAAAAAATATTGCTCCGTGTCTTACAGCTCGAAATTTTGTGTATCGACGACGGTTCTCTTTGGGGGGAGACTAACTTATGACCAAGGGCTAATTGGGTATTGTAAGGAATATATTCGGGCCATCCCCATGTTTTCCATGACAAAATCCCTTTCTGCTGTAGCGTACTTAGGATCAGTACGGAAGGTGTGAAGCCATTGGGCAGCGGTCAGCAAGGTAACTCAATTTCAGATAACAAAACATTGACGTCGGAAACAACAGGCCTCGTCTTTCGAAGCAACAACAACCAAAAGCTAATACTCGTAGCTCCTTCCTCCTTGTTGTGTCTCTCACCGTAGAAGTTGCGATCGGGGTAGCCCCACAGCTCCGCACAGCCGAGACACACACAGTGCCAGAAGCCGTAGAAGGCCATGAAGTGCACCATCGGAGAAAACACGAGCATAGCCAACGCCGATGCAGCGGCGATCCCCCACCACCCGGCCAGTCCCGCGCCGCCGGCCCCGCCGCAAAAGAGCGACTCGAAATAGGAGATCGCCGCTGTCTCAGGCCCCCCTCCGTCGAGCAGCAGGGAAAAGAACCACCCGCCGCTCCCGCCGGCGGTGTGAATCCCCTCCGCCCCCGCCCACCCAACGCAATCCACCCAACCAATCGTCGCCCCATTAAACGGCGACCCTCCGCACGTGTGTTCGCCATCGCCGCTGCCGCAGCCGCGAAAGTCGGAGGCAAGCGCCGCTTGGGCGCTCTCGCCAACAAGCGAAGGAGACGGGGTAGAGAAGACGGCCGCAGCCACGACGCGCATGACCGGCGCAAAGAACGCCGAGCAGGCGGCGTGGAGGGCCACGAACACGAGCACGGCGTGGGAGAACTCGGAGAACGCGCGGCCCGGGCAGGGGGCGCGTCGAGCGTGCTTTCTCAGGAACTCCGGCTCGCACACCTGGGCACACGTAGAAAAAACGGCTGTGGATGGCATTTGGACGTGGTATACAGAATCTGAAGACCTAGCACCGCACGAAACACGAACTGCGAGAAAAATATGTACGGGGATATATGCATGCGCTCTGAGTTTGGTACGTTCTAACTTGGGATCATGCCGTAATTTCGCCTTTGGAACAATAGAGCGTGCCCAAGGTGTTTACCTGATGTGAAACGCCCATCAGCGAGGTAGGCAAGTGGGTGTGGCAGACGCTGGAGCGCCCTCGTGATTCGAGGGCAACAACAACATGAAGCAACAAAGACTGGTCGACGTGGTCGAGTTGCAAAAAAAGCCGGGGTTCGATAGCATCCCTTCTGAGACCGTAACGGGGAACTACAAGACCTCCGGGTACAAAGATAGGCAGCACTCGCCGTTTCCGATTCACACGCACCAAGGATGGAGCCGCCAGGATGAAGAACAGAAACTCCCCGAAGGTTAGCAGCGGCGGGCCGGCCAGGTCGCCGTCCCCGCAAACGTCTTCCCGCGACCTCGTCTCTCCCCCGCTAGGCGCCCCCGTCGCCTCCGCCGCTTCCTTTGCCGTGGTAACGGGTGCATTGAAGCAACACCACGACTGCGCAAAGGAGGCACTCTTGAGGGACAGGCAGGCACTTAACAGCCCGACACTCAATCCCGAGGCGAGCCCCCAGTCCAGGTTAACCGAGCCCCAAACCGCCAACGTCCAGATCGGTAGCGTCGTCGACGCAACGACCATGGCGCTCAACAGGGGAAGGAAAGGCGACGACGACGACAACGACGACAACGACGACAATTGCCGCCGCTGCGACCCAGGCGAACGACGTTCTGATTCCGCCTGGCCCTTCCCCGCGCCCCCTGCCGGCACTGCTGATGGTGGCCTAGTGATGAGAAGATGCAGAGGGTATGCCAGGGTGGCCACGAGAGCCATCACGAACCTGCCGACGCGTGCTTCAGGAATCAGCACGTTGGAAAGATAGTCGACATTCACAACGGGCCAACCACTCATCCAGGACCGTGTGCAGGGGTAGTTTGGGCGTGCTGTCGACTAGGCTCTTTTTTCTCGACTCAGCCTGGAAGAGCGCAAACAAGGGCTTCATCGTCACAATTTTTACTCGCCGAGCTATCCAGGCGATACATCGGCAACATAATACATTGGAGGTAGGTGCGGTTGAGGCTCCGTCAGGAGCTCCCAAAAAGCAGGGAGCGACTCACGAACAGCGGCACGCCAACGAGTGAAAGTTCATGCAAGGAGCCCGAGCAGAGGTGAGTCGTGAGAGCCGAATGCACAGGGGACTCCGTAACTCCCAAATCATCTCAGATCACACCATACCAACCCGGGACTCCGTGTATCGTACCGACCACCGTGCACACCAAACAAACGCTCTTTCTCTCACATGCAAGCGAGAGCCTTCCCGATCCCCTCGAAGTGCCTCGCCAACAGGTCGAGCGCCAGCCCCTTCGTCAGGAACGCTGTCCACTCGTCGACTACCGTGGATGCCGCCGGTGTTTCGAAGTCGGCCGAAGGCGCGGCGGCGCCAGAAAACTTGGCCGAACAAGCCGCAAGGGCAAGCAGCGCAACCGTCCTGGCATTCAGCAGCCGCGGGACGAGGGACGATTCACAAAAGCTCGCGCGCTTGTTTGTCACGCGCAGTAGGCAAACGATGCAGTGAACCCGCCCACCAACACCACCAAGAGAAACAAAACTTGGACACAAAATTAGTTTGGTAAGACTCAGAACAAAGCGTAGGAGCAGACTGGCCAATGGGAGCTTCGGTCGTCTCTCACCGCTGTCAATAGTTTGGGATCAACATGCATCACTGCCGTAGCGTTCAACAGCGTATGGTCTGTTTCTTGTGGGGACCTTCGGAAAAAATGCTCGAGCTCACCATGGCGTGGTCTAAAATCTAGTCTATACTCGCGTTTGGTTTCAAGCCTCTGTTGTAAAAAAAAAAAAAAGAGGTGAATATAGTATGGGATAATATCCTTCAAATCGAGATTGGAAGGAAAGGAGGAGATTGGGAGGGTGTCTTCACCAGCCGCGGGAGGTGAGGACACTGTCTCATCCCACACTATATGGGAAGAATAAACCGTCACGAACATACTGATGTATTCTGAGGAACGGATCTGGGAATGTTCTAAACAATTTCCAGAACCGTGCACAGACAAAAAGAACAGATATGAGAGAAAGCAATTTCACCATCACTTCTTTATTGCGACCGAGTGCCGACACGGAAAACAGGAGGCAAGAGGGAGAAAAGTTATAGCACCGCCCACCCTAAAACAAGTGAGAGTTGTCACTGGCTTTCCCTTAATAACGTGTCTTTTATTGCGTGACAGCGCTGGAAATAGTTTATCCGTTTCATACTCGTTCTTCATGGTCCACCGTACTGGTGAACAGCGAAGTAGCCATGGTTGAGCTGACGCCTGCTGACAAGCAGCGGTGCCAGCCGGAACAAATGGTCACTGCTGTCTCATCATGCATTGTTGTTAAGTGCATGCAATCACGCACTGCCATGCGCCAGTTCTCAAACTACGGTAACACCTTCCACACGTTATACCATGATACCAGGTACGGAGTACTTGGTGTGGTGAGGAGAAGATATGCGAATGCGGGGTAACCAGAGAGTTGAGAGTTGCGGGGGAGAGGAGACCGGCATTTTCCGCAGCATTTCGGGCGAGTCGCACATCGAATGCAGGAGATTCCAACTACCAACTACAGTGCCCACGCGTCTCTACCTGTGTCGGTGAAGCCCCCATCTGAAGGCGTGCTGCAATTCGTGCCTCTTGATCAGTAGTGAGAACTCCGGGTATTTGGTCGGATTGTCCAGAAAAGGCTGCTCTCTCATGATCCTCGTCATGGATCTCTTCTAAGTCTTGTCTTCAGTATAGAGCTACCGGCCCGGCGTTGTAAAAGTCCGAACTGCAAGCAACTCAAAGAAGGAGCGCGGATCCACCCATAGTTGGCACGCAAAGCTTCAGTGCGCCTCTACCTATAGGGAGAGTCTGGTCCTTGTGGAGTCATGGTCACGCAGCCGATGATGGGGCTCCGCGGAAAACAGAAGCACGTACCTGCGGGGCACCGTCGGCGAAAATTTGAAAATTTGAAAGCTGTGAAATCCCTGCCATCTCTACTCTGTACTACTGCTGTAACTAGGCATAATGATGGAGTTTGTTGCATGTTGCATGTATTCGTGGGAAAGCTAGCTAAATACAGAGTAGACAAGGAGAGAGAGAGAGAGAAAGAGAGGAGAGCACAAAGGGAGCATTTTTTATGATGTTGTACAATGAAGCGAGTTGTGTGCACGTGTCCACAACGGCGCAGGGCGGTCATTTTTCCAAGTCATCTCAAATGTGTGCTTCAGTCTCTGCAGCAACACCTGAGCAACACATTGTGAAAATGTCAAGACAACAATAATACTTGATGATATCAACAGGAACACCCAATATTTCGCCCGATGTGGTGACGCAAAAAAAAAAGTCAACAGTGTAGTACGTACAGCAGTAGTCTAGATAAGCTTTCACACAGAGCCAGCTCTCTTGTCACCAACCTCTCCCACAGAAAACGCATTTTTGGCGTAACACCCCCCCGCTCGGCACGGACAGCTGTACGTGTCTAAACAGTGCATTATCATTTTTTTATTTTTCTTAATATGACACCACGAAGCCATCTCCATCATAGAAAAGAGTCTGAGACAGATTAGCAATGGATTCATAGCGTCAGAAAAGTACCTGTATGTCTACGATTTCCCAGACAGCATATAGGGACATCTCCCCTGCGGGTAACAGGCTCAACAAGACAGTTTGGTGGTTGTCTTGTGTGTCTCATATATGTTATGTTGGGAAGGTGCAGATGATATGTGTTAGGTACTGGTCGGGCGTTTTGTGTGTGGCACCCTTTTAGTCATATGGAATGCAATCTTCCTCGGTTTTCAAACGTATGTTCAATGTGGTACGCGTATGTACCGGGTATTTGGGTATGTATACAATATGTGTGGGTACATTTCGGGGTATGTGCGGACACACGGGCGTGGTCTCACCATTTTCTTACCTTTTACAATTATCATTGTTTCGCACATTTATGTGTCGAACAGATCGCTCGTTCGCGTAGTCGCCACGCGCATGTATAGGATCATAAGAGAGAGCCGACCGGTCGAGTTTACACAAAAATACTGCTGCGAGTTAGGTGACAATCCTGGGAAAACGTGTGAATATTTGAGCATGTGGGGATACTGGGTACAGTAACCCTGTTCATATTCATGACAAACTGCTGTGTGGCAGGTATTATTCGAGCGGCCGCGCCCAACGCAGTCTGGGACGCGATCAGCACTGGACACTCAGATAGAACAGGGCCCGTCATTCCATGGACTCTTTCGGAGAAAACTTTCTTGACCACGGAAATGCAATTTGCCATCACACCGGTATATTCCGTTTTGAGCACCCTATGCATTGTGTTGGAGCACAAGGTAGCATGCACCTGTAGGGGCGACATCGTGCGTTGCCGCCAACGCCGGTTGAGCTACGGCACTTTTCGGGTGCAACTATAGGATGTCCAATCGGGATGGATCTCTGCCAATAAAACGTCTTCGAGTCACACGGGAGGAACGACAGTTTCCGAGAGTTGTACAACGCTTTACAGCGTCGACATCGTATCCAGCAAGGCATATATATCGCCTGCAGTATAAGGAAAACGTCTCACCATACAAAAACGTATTGAACAACAAAATAAATAGCGTTTGAGACTTAGACGTCGTTGTGGCTCGCCAGCAGGCATCGGCACGTAAAAGTCAAGGCAACCGCAACCCCGACCCCCTCTTCTCTTCCTCCCTCACAACACATTTGATTCGCCGTTTCCAGCACCACAATACATGACGTCGTGACATCGTTGACATCGACCAAGCTACAAACAGCTCGCGGGATGGGTCGTTTCGCCTCCTGTCGCTGCTCCATACACCAACAAGGCCAACCACAAACCACCAAAACAAAAAGAAATGGGAGAGAAACGTCAATACGAACGGGCAAAACAGCCAAGGATGATACAGGCCGATCGACTTTCGCCAACTTGCCGGTGTGTCTGCGCATGCCAGTGCCTGCTGCGCAAACAAGCGGGTTTCTGACCCGCCCCCAGTTACCAACACCATTAGCCTGCTGCTGTGCAGTTGGTCGGTCTGAAACGAAACTCGGAAAAAACTTACGGGGTCGCCTTGACTCCAAACCAGAATGCTCCGACAGTGTTCTTGAGGCCCTCCGCGGCAACCGCAAATTCCCGCGAGGTCCAGCGCAACTCAACTAGTTATACTGAATAATGTTACGCACCAAACTACACTGTGCCTGGTGTTCGTGTGAAGGGAATGTCGTTTAAGGCAACAAGGGGGGGAGGGGGGGGGGTCGACTCAGTTGTTGACACCCTTGACCCCCAAAAGCTGGTTCTCCGGAAAATATATACAAAGAGAACTAAACGACCCGCCCTCTGGTACCCACCGATAACACCTTCAGTCTCGACATCTTTACATGTCGATTTCTGTAGGTAGCCACAGCATTCCACAATCGGCGTCGCTTCCAAGCGCCGGCCGAACGAAAGAACACCAACAACCAGCGCCGACAGCTCAACCAAGAAAGGGAGCCGTGCACCGGTTGACCGAAAACCAACGAGGCGCTCAGCACACACCAGCGAAGCGTCAGCCTTTCCCGCACACAAGCCTCCGAAGCTTGACTCGCCGGGCACCGCCCCCCACAGGCAATACGTCCGCCGGTCTGCATTTCTTCTACTTCCATGTATGTCACCACCGCCCCCCAGCTGGGTGCGGGCGCTAGCCGTTTTCACGTCCCGCCACAAGACCACCGTCTTCGACACCTTGGTTCCATTTCAGCCAGCACTCCCGACAACCAACGAAACCGCACACAGCACATATCGCACATCATCCGCTTCCGCGTCACCGGCCCCGCCGCCCCCCGCCCCCGCTCCCGCCGCCCTCCTCGCGCCGGCGCCGGCGCCGGCGGCCCCTTTCCCGCCGCCTCTCTCTCCTCGCCGCGAGCATGAGCTGCTCGCCGCCCGTGGCCGGCGCGTCCGGTCGCTGCCGGAGGCCTAGGGCGGCTGTCGTGGCCATCCAGCGGTCGTTGTCCCGGTGTCGTAGCGTCTCCAGGAGGCGGCGCCGTCGCTTCACCAGCACCACCAGCCCTTTTCTCGACACCGCGTCCGTGGGGGTGGTCTGGTGGGGGGGGGGTACACGCAACGCACATGAGCGGAGCGGGGGAAGAAGCAGACATAGGTTGACACGATCGTGGCGATAAAATCACTCAGGAGCGGGGGAGGAGGCAAGGGGCGAAAAGGTTGAGACATCAAGCAACGATCAAACCAGCTGTGCCTCGCGCGAAAAACAACGCTCGCTTCATTCCAGGAAGACGGTGTGAGAAGAAGAAGCTTTGGACGCAAGCACTTCCGCAGGAATATCCCACAGCACGCCGAAGGTGCGGTACGGGGGGGCAGCGAGCAAGGGGACAAGCAGGCCATGTGCGTGAAACCAACCAAACCAATTCTGTTCTGATCACACTTGGCGTTTCCAACTGCGGTTAACAGAACTCCTGTAACAACGATGACGTAGAATACCGGGAGTAGGTCGTCCTCAACAAAGCCTGCATACATCGCAAACAAAACAACACAGGGGGTCAAATCGTGCAGGGACGCATTCGTCATGCAAACCGGAGGTCCCGTCACAATTCTCGAAAAAAGTGAAAAAAAAAATTGGAGAACTTTGGTCTGGCCTCCAGCGGCTTGGCCGAAGACGAAGAGACAAGAGTGGAGTCATCTTGTCGCTGAGAACAAGGACAGCGTGTGTACGGTGAGAAGGTTTTGGTCCCGACGTCCCGACAACAAAACAAGAACCGAAACATTCATGCCGCTCTGTCCCACCCAGCCCCCAACCTCGAAATGCAGCTCTAGTCAAAATGGACACACAAAAGGGGCAGCCGAGCGAAATACTGGCGTGTAGTAGTAGCAGAACTCCGATCGATCACCCGATCGCAACGTTGTGTTCGTGATTCCTTGTTGGTGGTGTTTCTGCAGTGGTCGGCGTTGAGAAGACGAGCACATGTGTACACAAAATCCCAGTCAAATGGGGAACTCAAGCGTGACATCCCCGCGCCTACCTCGCTCACAGCGATGGGTGGGGCCGAAAAAACACAAGTCACACTTCTCCGCCCCCCCCCCCCCGTACCATCTACGAAAGAAGGCGTCATACAGCCACAAAACAGAAACATATCATCGTGTGCTGCTGACGCCATTTGCCACTACTAGGACAGCCTTCGCGAGAAATCAAGTTTGTGAATGAACAGAACAGGAAGCGGGTACGCACACCAACCCTAACTCAGTCTCCCCGATTGCATACATTGCCCAACATTTTCACCCAAACTCTTAACCCTAAAGAGGCTACTGCCGCTGCTGTACTGCTGTCGCTCCGCTGTTCACCTTGAGGTGGTCCGCGATGCTTGCGATCCTCGCCGAGAGCAAGGAGATCTGGTGCTCCAGCGCAGCCGCATCCCCCTCGAGCTTGTTCTTGGCCAGCGTCTCCGCGAGGCTAGCGGCGGCGGCGGCGGGACCCGCTACCGGCGCCAGGGGGCCGACTCCGGGCTGCGTCATGAGCTTCATCTCCTTCATGCGCTGGGCAACCTCCAACCTACCACCATGGGTAGCAGTTGGGATTTTATCAGACCGGCGACGGGACGGGAGGAAAAAATAAACGAGCAAAGAAAAAACAAGAGCTGGTGGCCACGACTAGACCGCATCACCAAGGACTGCCTACAGTACGAAAACAAGACCAGGAAGGGGGCACGCAGACCCCAACTCTTAACCCTAGCTTAGCCGATTCTAAAGTCTATCCAGTACGTTTGCATGGTCGTATAAACCTGCGTGGGCTACTGGTCACTAACTGGTGCAATCCATCTGCTCAGCTCGTGCTTGCACGTGCGAGCGCGGCATACCACTCGGCCAGACGGGCGGCAGGTGGTAGGTGGCATAATACGTCACGCCCGCGTGACGACAATTTTCGATCTATCTCGTGGGTGTGGTATTCTGTGGGTGTGGTATATTGTGTGGCCTGTGTGCTAAAACTGCCTACAGGACTCCGCCCCGAAGGGGGTGCGATAAAGATGGGGGTGCGAGTCATCCATGGGATGAAAAATGCGCCTACCCGACCCAATCTACAGTGGGTGTGCCAACGAGGGTGTGTGCTTAATCACGGGGTGCGAGAACGTTACACGTGCATCATGAAGTTCTCCCACAAGACTCCACCCTTTAGGGTGTGTGATGACGACGACGGGTGCGGGTCTTGGCAAGTGCGTGTTGTATCGCGCACGGTTGCTGACGGAGTCTCAGGGGCCACACTTTCCCCTGCCGCGGGTTGCGGCCCTCCCCTTCTTTTGTTTTGGTTCATCACTTTACATGAGCGCCCACACCACACACAGCATTGCTGCCGTACAGGAGCTCCAATCCGTGGCCAAACAGAAGGGTACCTCTCCCTCCACCCCCTCCTTTGGTGCTTGCGTTCGATTGATAACGCCAGAAGAGTGCAGCACTCTCCTTCCCTCAGAGTGTACACACGAACCAGGGACACAAGCTCTGTGCAGAAAAAGTGACGAAGTTGGACGTGGCGCCTCCGCTAGAGTCTGACTCACTACAGCAGTTTCCGCTGGAGTCTGCCTCACTGAAGTCTGAGCCGCGATGCTTTCTTCGGCAGTGTTGTGTGTTTCGTTCATTTCCGGGGTGTTGTCATTTTCCATAGCTCTAGCGCAGGGTTCCATGGGTTTTTGGGGGTGATCACGGGTTACCACATCACCGGTCCAAGGGGTGTGATAGGGGGGATTCAGGGATACATAAACGGGATTAAATTTGGGGGGGGGGGGGGGGGTAGTATCTTCTGTGACCGTGTGATACTACCATTCCAGAGTTTAAAATATATCACACGGGTGTGGTTTTCTGTACATTTTCGTCATGGGTGGTATCTGTGGGTGTTGTATCTTATGTCACCTACAGCGGTATGCACGAGAAGACCGAAGACGAACACAAGGGTTGCGGGGTGTCCGCCATCCCTCGGCGGTCTCCAGGCCGAGATTGCATACATGCACACAAGAGAAGCAGCACGCCTCCGCGAAAACGCCTCAGCATACAACCAACCCGAGGATTACAACGTCCCCACCCACCCACTCTGGAATACATACAAATGCTGTTGGTGATTTTGAGTCTTTTCCTTGTTCTCCAGAAGCAGGATGTCTGCTGTCGTCCAACTCCTGCGTCTTCGCTGTCAGTATGCATAACCATACAACCGACGTTCATAACGTGTTCGCGTTTGTTATCCCACAAGGATTTTTTTTTTTGACATTTGTCCGTCAGGAAAGCCGGGGTTGATGCTTTACTTAAGGGCGCCCCCAGAACAGCAAGTTCGATGTTGACTAATTTTGAAAACATGCGCAAGAGCACCAGAAACTGTACAACAGACACACAAGACCAGTCGGAAGGCATCGCAAAAAACAGAAATCGTTAAATCCCGCACAGGGCGACAGTAGAGGCTGCTAAAAACATACATTTCACACGTCTACCTCCGCACGCCCCCTTTGAAATCAAGATAAAAATTCGCCCTATTCTAATTTCAAGTCAAACGAGCCAAAACGGCAGGCGTTCAAATAAGGTCTGTGTTGACATGTACCTGGTAATTAGTACTGTTATCAGTAGAGGACACCATAAAGAGGCTTCGTGCGTGCTGGCACGTTCAGGTTTGCTACTGGAGCTGAAATATCGAAGGTTGCAGCAATCTCTGAAAACAGTCCGAAATCTGCGCTGGAACCAAGCGGCATCCAACATTTGTCTCAGCCGTGCTCACCGCCACGGACCCCAATCTCCTGAACTGTGCGTTTACAGCAGTAGCTCATGCCACGAGCTACTGCGGACAACCCTCCGTTGAGGGGTTTACGGTCCGTGGCGGTGTGCACGGCTGTGACAAATGTTGGATGCCGCTAGGTTCCGGCGCAGATTTCGGACTGTTTTCAGAGATTGCTGGAACCTTCGATATTTCAGCTCCAGTAGCAAACCTGAACGTGCCAGCACGCACGAAGCCTCTTCATGGTGCCCTCTACTGCTGATAACAGTACTAATTACCAGTTACACTCTGCGGGAAGGTTGTTTTGTTTCTTATGTTGGATTAAAGTATGAGAAAAGAGCCAGCGTCAAAACCCCTGTTCTGGGGGACCTTAAAGTAGTCGGGCCCAGATTTTCGATTTTCTGAGCCGATGTACTAAGCATGTGTCGTCAGTCGTTATTCGCACAAGGAAGGCTCTGGTCTTCGAGATGCGACTGTAGCAAGACGGAAACGATTGCCACTACACTGCCTGCAGTCCCATCCTGTTGGACGAGTACGTAGCAGACTCAGCAGTACTGCCGAAACTCCGCATGTGCATACGCATCATTCCCCCAACGGCTGCGTTGGGCGAAACGACGAACTTCAACATGAGACAAGCGACCCGAACTTCAAGAACATTGCACTGCCCCCTTTGAATATATGGGCACAATCGCTAAAACATGCAGTGCTCCATGCCAAAATACTCCTAAGTAGCCGAAGACCATCAATGCAAAACGCAGACTAGTCTTGTGGTATTGATGCACGATTACTATTGTAGGTGTTGGTAGTGGTGTCCCTCACCACCTCAAAAGCAGCTGCTTGTTCCTGTGGGTGAGTTAATGTGCTTACCGAAACAGGCTCCCGACGTCCGCCGCCGTCCTCGAACCAGGACGCGTCGCCGCCGGGCTCGAGCTCTCGGCCCCCGCCCGAGCCTTTGGCCTCGCAAGGGCGCGTCTCAAGAGCACCCGCCTGGCCAACGGAGAACAAGTGTCCTTGCCTGTCGTTGGTCTCCCATGCTGCTGCTGCTGTTCCTTAGAGCTGGCTGCTGGTGTGGACTCCGATCTCGTTGCGATCGAGCCCGCAGCGACCGCGGGCCCTACGAAGCAGGAAGTCAACGGCCTGCTGCGGCGGTCGCTGCCATCCGCCCCGAGAGCTGCCGTTGCCACCGTTGCTGTGAACAGAAACACTACTATTAGCATTGCCAGCCGGGCGTCCGCCGTCGTCATCTGTGTGAGCGTGCTCCTGATCGTTTTTTTTTTCTTTATTCCTCGGTGGTGGTGGGCTTTGGTCCCTCGGTCCCGTGGGTTTGGTCCGCCACCTTTCCAACGCAAAGGCGTAAGTCGTGTACCTTCGGCTCCCCGAGGCCAACGTGGGGCGGGATAGACTGCTGTCTAGCGTTTCTCTCTCTTGTCTTCCTCCTCGCAACTCTCTCACGTGGTGCACGCGCACACGCGCACGCACGCGTTGATCTCCGATCTCCGAACATGATATGACGGTTTTCGGTGCGTTCACGAGGCGTTTGTCTTTTCGCCCTCTGGGTTCGTAGATCTTCAAGTATGACGTCGGCCACCAGCCGGCAGCAGTTGTATCCCCCCGCCCCCCCTACACACAACGGCCATTACACTTCCATCCACACCTGCTTGCTGTCCTTCCGAAGAAGCTCAGTAGCTTTAGTCTCATCGCACCACCATGAAGCTTGCTACGTGCCTCGCTCTTGTCCCCCTCGGTAAGTGCGGACGAAGGAAAGGGAGGGAGAAGCTCTTGTAGTAGCAATCCACTTTCAGGTTGCTGCTGTTGTTCTCAAAATCTTTTGAAGGCTGCTTCAACATGACCAGCGCGGGTTGCGGTGATTTCCTCATCGGCGGCGCAGTTTGGGGACGTTGAGTGGCGTGGCATGCCAGGACGCGTGAAATGACATGCGTGTCGTTACCGCTCCCCAGGAAATTCGCCTGGGGATCAGATCATCCTGAACGAAAATGTACATGTGTGCGGCAGCTCTATCATTTGCTGCTGGCTCTAAAATCTCTATTTTCGAACAACCGCAAGCGGTTAGGGGGCAACGGTGTTGCTGGTTGCTGTCCACACTCAACTTTCTTCCCGCGCTCGAGATTCCGACCATTCCTGTGCTTCTCCGCTCTACGGTAGTGGTTGCCGACCCTTTGCAAGTTAGAGAAGATGTTCATTCAGAGGCGAGACACACATGATGTGGGATGTGCGACATCCGACAAAAAAAAAAAAAAAGATCGCCCGCCCGGAGCAGCAGATGCGTTACATTTTGGCACATTGACAGGTTGGACTACCGCACCATGCCGTGGCTCAGTGGTTATTCTGGGGCAAGACTCTTTGGGTGGCTTGCTTGGCAGGCATCGACTGCCTCTACCTCCCTCCGGCAACGCCTTTCTTCGTGAAACGATCGAAAATCAACAAGTAGATCATCTACTGCTGTACTTGCGAAATGCTTCCATTTCGCAATTATTTGGACCGTTTCACCGAACGCGCTAGAAAAAATCTCGCGGAATGCGATGATGAAATAAACACCGTACTGTATGTAGGAATTGGTACCTTTATTTCCTTATTTTGAAGATTTACTTCTACACAATACCTCCAGCCGTGTGTTATTTTGGGTCACACAAGATACCGTACACTTCCATGTACAAGCAGTACAATCCCAAAACCGTTGAAATGCTGTCGCACGGGCGTGGTGTCTCCTGTGGCATCTACCTGCAGGATCCACTGCATACTCGGAGTATGTTCGTGGTTCGGAATCGTGTTCATTGGTTGTGTTGTCATCGCCTTTTCTTGATGTCGGTGCACACCGTTGGGTGATACTTCTATGTTTTGGGACGCCGCAGCCGGGGTGACACAGACAGGACCACACGTTGTTTTGATTGTTGACCTATTTTTGCGGCGGTGTTGCCTTACAAAATACAGTACTCCATTCAGCAGAGTAATGTATGAAGCAGAAGTACCAGGTAATTTTCAAGGAAAAGGATCGGCTGTTGATCCTTTCCCTCGTCGAAGACCAATACTTCCAACACCTCCAATCTGTTCAATCTGACTATTAATAACTTTTTTCTCTCTCCTCGTTGGACGTCGATGCACATGAGGCGCGACGTCACACACGCGCGTACAGCGCGCCTGTTGTTTACTTGGCATATCCTCCCTAATTTACCTCACTCTTGTCTTGCGGTGGGATTTGTTTCTTTTTCTGGTTCACATCGTTAGCCGCCGAGGCTGCTCTTCCATCGAACGGCTGGTTTGGTGGACGTGGAGTTGCCCTGGTCGTCAAGGGTGGGGACCAAAGTGAGCATGATGTTGTTCTCGGTCGTGTTATTTGTTGGTTAGTGACGAACGATTTTTCTTCCTCTAGGGCGTCTCGCTCGGACGGGCGATGGTATTGGTGGTCACGTGCTTTTCCTGGAGGTCAAAATGGTGACATGGATTAGAGAGTTGTTGGGTCTCTGCTGTTGGTGATGCACCCCTATAGCAACAGTGTTCGTGTTGTCGATGCTAGTGTAGCGGTAGCATTTGTTGCGCGTCTTGCTGGTGCTAGTCACTGGCATTTTGATGCTACTTCTCTTCACGTCCCCGTGGACTGGGTCTCCACCAAGAGATGCAAGCAAGGGATTCAGGAAGACGTCTGCCGCTACCTTTGCCGGGCGTGCATGCTTGCTGCTGCAACTGCTGCTGTGGCTGCTGCCGACCCACCCTCAGTCGTTACGAACGAGAAGACGTAAGGAAACCCCCCCACCCCCCAGCCCATGTGATCAATGAACGCTAAGGCGCAAAGCATTACCACTCCCCCACCCCCCCGCCCTCTTCTCCAAAATGTGGTGTATCAGAGTTCACGTATGCCACCAAGGACGGCGGCAGCGACAGCGCGTCTTTCTACGGAGAGGCCCCGAAGGGCGGGTCGTTCTTGAGGGAAATCGCCGACTCCTTCAGGGACACTGTCAAGGACACCGAGGAAAAATTCAAGGTGGGAAAATAACCGGTCTTCCTTTCGTTGTTGGCTTGCTTCTTTTCTTGTCAGTGTGGTGGTTGCGTGCGTTCGAGAGACGCGAAATTGGGCGATCAGGTACAAATGAACGAGTCGCTTATGTGTTGGTTGTTCATGTGTGTGTAGGCGTATCTGTGTTGTTTTGTGGTGACGGTGGTGATGGTCCTGGTGAGGTGTGGATAGAAAGACGAAGGCGACAAGGAGAGATCTGAAGTGAGATGCTCAACCCCGGAAAGGAGCTGTGGGACTCTGTTGCGAACCACTCGACATATATATATATTTTTTTTGTCTTTTTTGGTCTTCTTGTAGTCCTCGGTCGCAAATGACGCAGAGCCTCAAGACCCCCTCGCTCAATTGCTCCCCCTTTCGAACAGCAGAAGGAAACTGTTGTCGCGCCAACCAACGAGGACCGTTTCCACGTCGGCCCTTTCTGGGAGAGCAAGCTCTTCAAGGAAGGCGGGTGAGTGAGTCCGCATGCGCGGCGAAAATGAAACCTCGGCTTACCTGAGGTGGTGCTTGGTTGCTTGGCTTGTTGTCTGGCGAACGAGGATCGTTCGTACCTCGATATAGGGTATTGAATTTTTATGGGGGGAACGGTGCATTCTGCTGTTGAGTCGCTTGAGTCCAAACACACATGATACATTGATGCTGAAAGTGTCAAGAGGCGTCGAGGTTACACTGAGGGACTTAATAGACGTGCAGCGCTTGGCCCCCGATATACACTGAAGTCTGTGCGAACCTTTTACCCTCCAAGGGATCGTGATAGAAGAGTGACTCCGTGACGCGTTGCGATTCACGTAACCATCAACCTAGTTTATCCCAAACGACGACTGTGTGTTAAATGTGAGAACAGGGGCGTTTTCTGATCAACGACCAACATTAAGTCTTCGTTTTCCTGACTGAGCTTACGCTAGGCAATGATTTCGTGCCGTGTGGGACAGCCGAAGTCGCGATTGGCCTTCATTTTCCAACCACAAGAATTTTCAGCTGCAGCTGCCCTTCGATTGTTGTTGGGAGCAGTCTTTTGTTGTCTCTGACGCACTTTCTACGCCAATCATGGCCATGAATTCAAATTGGGTTCCTTCTGCTGTTGCCCTCTCGTTCTCTCGCTCTTCCTCCCTCCCCCCCCCCCCCCCCCCCGCAATCAAGGCTGGGATTCCTCTTCGGGCTTGGCACGGGTGTCTGCGTTCGAAAGGTCAACCAGAACGCCGCCTATGCCGTGAGCGGCGCTCTCGTAGCCGCGCAGGTGAGAGTTTGTTCTACCAACGCTACGTGGCGTACCCGAGCTCGAAAACAGCAGCAAAGTAGTCGGAACCAAACTGTAAACGTATCGGGGTGGGAAGGTATTCCTTCTGCCGTTTCGAAACTAAAAAATCGAATGACTGAAGGGATTCGTGCATAATCGTCTTCCGAAGTCCACGTCGATGATGCACGCGCGGACGTGCGGCAAAGGTTCGCTTCCTCTTGAATGCGTCAACCATACCCTCAGTACCCAAGGCCCCCTGCACCCTCCCCCCGACCATGCGTTCTGGACATCGTAGTACGTGTCTCGCACTGACATCCTAGGTTGTGGTGGCAAGCTGGGTTGGCCCAAGCTGGACGACTACAAGCTGAGGGACTGCGAGCGCGAGAACTTCGGCTTCATCTGGCGCACCGGCCGCACCTTCAAGCACACCGTTCAGGAATCCCTCGAAACATGCGGTAGGAGACCTTCCATTGATGCCGTAATTGTTTCTTTAGCACGGCGCATGCATTTGCTCTGACATGTGTAGGAGAGGCGTGTTTATGCAAGCTTCCATTGTTTTCTGCCTCCAAGAATCTCTGATTTTGCCACTTTACAACTCGTTTTTTTAGTGTCCACTTTTTTTAGTGTCCACTAAATAGTGTTTTCGGTAACGCCGTCTGGGAGCTCCTAGAGAGATCTGTGGTGGGATCTCGTGTGAGGAACTCCGCTAATTTCAATCATGACCAATAATGTGCGCAGTTCACGGCAGCGAACCACGAGCCCCAACAGCGCGCGTTGCTGTGTCCTCGTGTCTTTCCTGATGTACTGTAGTTCGGTAGGCTCGTCCTTTGTCAGGCCTAAACAGCACGACCCTTCCAACGGTTTTCGCCGGCCTATCGAGCATTAATCTTCACCCCTCACCCGCCGCGGCGCCCGCCGGGTTTTGTTCCGTTTCTTCCGCTCGGCACACCAGAGGGATACGTGATCGGGTTGGCCGCGGGCCTAAAGGCACCTCTTCCCTAATGAGGTGTTCCTGTCGTACGCGCGGTTTCCACACAACTTCGGAGGCCTTTAAGTAAGGCTCAGGAGCCTACAGTAGTTTTATTCGCTAACTCCGCGTGGACATCGCGTGCAGGTCGCTTGGTGCTCGAACGGAAAGGGTCGGTGCCCTTGGAGCTGAGTGGCCCCCATTAGGGTTGGTGACCCCCCATCAGGGCGGAACAGACCCCTCCGTGATGAGCCATTCGCTCCCATATTTATATCAGCGTTCCTGAACAGCAGCGCAGAGCTGGTCTGCTCCACACTAAGTGTTGTTCTCCTGTAGACATGTGTAGGTTATTTACTTAGCAGTTATAAATAGAGTATGCAATAGATGATTGTATGTCAGCCCCCGGCACTGTAGCGCAAACGTTTTTTCTCGGACTTGCTGGTACATGTGGTTTTGGGCAGTGTTCACCGCTTGCCTAACGCTCGCGGGCGATTTTTCTTTTCTACATATTTTCTACAGGTAGCCTGCTTGGGGACGCATAGACACTCGCCAGAACATTCAAGAGTGGTCGAATTGTAGATGTGGCGTGGAGAGAGAGCAAGCGTGCAAGTAGTATTCAACCTGGTAAGTAAGTAGATGTAGATCTTAGGGTACTAGTCTAAGGAGTGGCCACCACGACCTAGTATTCGTGACATTATATATATATGCACGCCGACCGCAGGAGGAATGGACTCCACATGTTGTGACGGAAAGGAGAATTCTTCTTTGTACTTCCGACCGCTACTAGCTGCGTACGCCTTGACCGGCTGGGAATCGGTTGATTGAATATCAGAAGAACTTACTGATACAGCAGTAGCCTCCCGTGGCCATTATCGTCCAGTGTGTGTGGACAAGAGGCATCGTTTTGTTTGTCCCACACATGAAAGACCAAGTTGGCTCAAGCACGACACTCTGAACTTGCCGTTGAACAGGCGCTGCAAGTGTGTTTCATGCCGAGCATCCTACAGGCCACTGCTGTTGCCGTGTCTGGGTGTGAGATGTCCCATATCTCGAAACAAAGCTGTTGCCACGTCCATGGATGGGCTCGAAGATGGTCTGCGGTCTGCGGCAAGGCATCGTGTTTGTACGTACGTCCCCATGAGAATCTTCTCTGTCGACGTTTGTTTGTTGACCCTTTCGGGTCTACAGGCGTCCTGACAGATCATTGATTTGATCCTTTGCAAATGCTGGTGTTGTGGCATGCCATGGAGTTGCCGCCCTGTATCCCTCCACGCCAGGTGTTGGCAAGTCATAGGTAGGTGTGTCTTTATTCTTCGCATCGACCGCGCTACCCGTTGACCAATGAAATACGTTATTAGTGCCAGCGGGTAATATCAAGGTCCCTGGAACAGCCAAAATAAAAGAAGGGCGCACTGCTCTAACACCCTGGAATCTCTCCCCATATCCTTTCACAGAGACACACATCAAAAGCTCCACATACATGCCCTCGCCCGAATCTACAAAGCAAAGACAGGAGGACAGCGAAAAGGGGCACTCCAAGCCTAACCAGGCCAGGACATTGTGGTTCACTTGCAGCAGCAGTCTTTCGTAAAGGAATTAGTGTTCTATAGATAGTAAACCAACATACGTAATAATAATCTTCACTGTATAAGCTTTCGTGCCGCATTCTAAAATCCTTAAATTCTACAATTCATATGTAGTGTAGGCTTTGGCAAGGTCATACTATATCCTCCCCCCATCGTGACCAAGATTGAAGCGTAACCAGGGGGTGATCCACAATTTGTTTCCACTAGCTCTGCGTGGGATCCCGTGTGCGCGCGTGTGCGCGCGCTGAAAAAGCGCGCGAAAAATGTTGGAAACCCCGGGGATTTGGTCAACATGTTCCCTCCGGGGACATATAAGGCCTCTCCCCCCCCCCCCCCCGCGCGACCAAGATTGACACGTAAATTAGGGGTGTTCCATGGTTTCCACTTGGAGGGCCCCAGCGTCTACAAGCCCTCTCACTGATCATTTTCACTGTGATCATTTGAATGTACTGAAAATAGAGTAGTTTAGGGCGGCTTGACGACTGATCTTTTCGAGATCTACAAGCCAACTTGACCTACCGGCCGCACCGCGACCACGCATCAACCCTTCGATGACCCTGTCTGTGCCTACCGTCCTATCGCGGCCACAGCCCTCATGGCCTATGGGTGGAGATAGCTGTTTCGTCTCCAGAAGTACACTCGTCTCTTTCTGCTGTACTTCTGTCTCTCTCCCCGCACTCGCTCCCCCATTTCTTTTTTGTTGCTGCAAAAAAAAAAGAGCTAGACCCAAAGCAGCTGAAGCAATAAGCCTGTTCGGTGAAACTTTCCTCCTACCCGCACTCGATCGATCAGACCCCTACAGTATTCATACAAAAGGTCCATGTTTCTCCTGCCGTTGAGCTCAGGTAACCTGGGTCCTTTTTTTGCTTACTCTTTCATTGTTTGCATATGCGCTGGCTATGCGGGCCTCTGATGCTTGCTGTACGAGGGCATACCAGTACTACATACAGTATAACCATTGGTGGTTGCGCCTGTACCTTAAGCTACGAGTGCCCTGCAGCAGTCAGGCGGTAGAAAATGTATACCCGAAACACCCTGACCTACAAAACGGCGTCTTTCAAAAACCTCACCCAAGTTTGTCATGTGTAGCCACACAGGCTATCTATCCGGTAGCAATCCAGAACAAATCAGAGGCGGGAGCGCGTTCTATGCAGACGTTATCACTGATGCTGCAAGCGCTGACAATATGTTGTCAGATGTGTGCTGCCTACATATGCGCATCCCATACATATGACGTGTGCGCGCGTGCGCCAAGCACATGTCCGTTACTGCTGTCGTCAGTTTTGGTGTTGTTGACGGTTTCGGATATCTTTCATACGGTTACACTAATAATAGTCTACTACCGCTACGGTTTCGCCTACCCCCTACCGCTTCCTTGTAGAGCCCTGTGCTCATGTGTGATTTCCGAAACACGCGCACCAGACCAGCATCGCCAGTTGTTGTTGTTGTTTTTTCTCTCCACATTACATGTAGCTCTACAGTCCACATAAATGGGGAGCCCGCCGTGGTCGCAAAACCCGGGGAAACAAAACAAGAATAGAGTACAAACCACTCGGTGATTGGCCCATAATCTGTGACAAACTGCCAGTCCCGTGCCAGGTTTGAAATTTCGATTCGCGTCACTCTCACGCACCTCGGAACCCTCCAGCAGCACCGCAAACGGCGCAGGCTCTCGTCTTTGATCAATCGATAACGCACCGGCTCATGCATGGGGCACACCCTAGAGTTGATTCGACGACATGAGGGTGTATTGGTGCCGCAGATATGTCTCTTGCCTCACGAAACACAAGCATGGTACGTACGAGTACCACAGTAGTTAAAACGTTCGAGTCCCACTTTCCGGTGGGGGTATGCGAGAGGCAGTTTTGCATCCGGGGGAGACCCTCTGATGAAGCTGTGCAAATGATCTTCACACAGAGGAACTTCCTCGGAGTTCGTCCTCGGTCAAGAAGATGAGCTGGATACTGTTTGGTAGTTGAACGTCCCCGATGCTCGTGTTACGTCAAACATTGTACGTACGCCAAGGGGTACGCGTTGGTGCCGTCGCCGGCGAAGAAAGGTCCAACAACCATTATCCCATTCGCGTCAATCCTTCCTTCGTCACGTTATCATTCGCCGTGGCAACTGGCGTAGGCTCCCTCTGAGACGACTGACTGAGTGACGGCTCACTGCCGGGGAAGACTGGTGTGACTGCGGCTAAGGCGAAACCAAATGCAGCGAGGGTGCCTTGGCCGACTGCTGGATCCACAATGAACTCTCTCCAGCCCGCCCGACACCCACGGCGGGAACAACGTGCTGTCTCCAATACTACCCAGGCTGACAGCAGCAAACCCATCACCCGGCAGGCGGGCAGAGGAAGCAGCAGTCCCCAACGATCGACTAGTAGTAGGCACCCATCCCGCTCAACCACCGAGATTCTCGGCGGGATATCCAACACGCGAAGCCTCGCCTTCCTCATGAAAGTGGCGGGTGAGGACAGCGAGGAAGAAGACGACGAGAACGACTTGATCGCAGCGCCATCACCTCAGCAGAGGTCGCCATCGGCACCCGAGGAGAAACAGGCAGAGAAGAAGCTCCGGCACCCTTCAGGGCAGTGCGGTCCCCTGCTGCTCAACCACACCGCAGCGGCAGCAGCCGGCCGCCGCCGCCGCCGCCGCTCTTCCTTGCTGCCTCCCGCGGATCTTGACCCGTTGATGCCGGGGCTGCTGACCTGCCGCGACGACAACATGTCCAAGCTCGCCACCTACAGCGACGACGACAGCGACGACCAGGCCCTCGGAGATGGGCGCGGCAAACCCGCTGGCGACACGAACGAGCAGCCCAGCACCGGACGAACGGTAGCCGTCTCCGAGTTCTCCAACTTGGCGGGCACGAGCGCGGCGGCTACCGTCGTTTTCCCTCCACGAAAGCCGGCGGCGGATGGAGACGGTCGTGCCGGCCGATCTCTTGGTCTCGTGCCCTCCTACTCCTCTGTGGAGTATGCCGGGTGGTCCAAGTTTTGCCTGGCGTCCAGCGACACCGAGAACGAGGGGGGCAGCTCGGGTTCCTTCGAGCAGGCAAAGGAGGTGAGGTCCGGAGGGAAGACAGGGAATGAATCAGGAATGTCAATCACACTGCCGTGCTGCTGTGAAACTCTTGGTGATGGCCCGGCGCGGGTAACGTTGTATGAAGAAACCGTTGCATGTTTGACAAATTTCGTAGCAAACCGCATGTGTGTGAGAGTGGAAATGCCGGCCGAAAGGGAAGTTTCGGTTTGAAAATTTCCACGGGTCCAAGCAACAGTCTAAATGTCGCTGTTGGTGCAACTGCCGGACGAACACAAATACAGTACGACACGCGCTCTACGCTTGCTCCTACCAGCCGTACGATTGAACTGCTACAATCTAGAAGCGCTCTGATGCCTGGTGTGGCTGAAGCGTTGTGTACCAAGTACCATGCACTATTTGGCACGGAAAACAACGGCTGACATTTCTTCATCGGCTACAAGTGTTTTTTTGCTTATTGTAAGAAGAATTCGAGTTGGCGCGCAAAGTGCTGTTGTTGTTGTCGTCGGTGATGTTTTTGGAGTTTGTTGTTGTTGGTGATGGTGGTACGAGTGGCAGCGGGTTCGATGAAGCTGTAGTTGCCGGTAGTCGTACCGTTCGGCTTCTTCGTGCCACTCTACACACTACCGCGGGCCCGCAGTTGATAAGAATTCTGTTACGAAAAAAAGGCTCAAGCGTGAAGGGTTCACGAAAAGTTCCAAAAAAGGGACAAGAAACAAGAAACACAGCTCAATCTCACGCCACAAAATAAGAAACGTCTCAATAAGAAACCTGATAGTGCGATACCCCCAAGACATGAGACACAAGGGTTACATGGGGAGCGTGTCCAATAAGAAACGTCCCACTGCTGCTCCTTCCGTGCCCCCACCCCCCTACCTAGCTGAGCAGTGTGTTATTTCTTTGTAAGGAGGAGAGTGGCCGTTGGGGCATGGGTGCTGCTAGAGGTGGACGAAAAGGAGGGAGTCAGCTACGTGCCGGAGGGCGACAACCCCCAATGTTCGCCACACCGGGCTTTCTGGTTAATGCTGCATGCATGTTTGGTGTGCTGTTGTATTGTTAGCCAGAAATAAGAAAACCAGAAGGATGCGACAGTCAAAAGGAATAAGAAGCAAATGGACGACTTCGGCTGATCCTTCGACCCAAAATAAGGAATTGAGGCTCGACCCGATTTTGACGTTTCTTACCCGCTGGCCCATACTGTACTACCGACGGATTTCTTGGAAGCGTACTGTAGAGAGATAAAATACGCGTCGTGAAATATCGCGCTTGCAACACCACACAACTACACTGCTGTTGATGTGCAAGAGAAGGAGACTGTGTTGTCGGCGACGAAAAGGCGCAGATGGTCGCTAGTGGCAATCAGCTCGATTTGACGGAGAAGTATGGCAACTGGCACCAACTTGATTCCTTCGTTTACCCGAGTCTACATGCAGCAGTTTTCACCGAAAGATGAGTCTCGTCGAGCGCTTACAACGCGTCACTGCCGGCGTATTCGCGCGTCGTTGTGTGGTGAGGCGTCTACGAATGGTTGCACGTGCTTCCTCACGGGGTTGTTGAAGACCCAGGCAACCAGGGGGGAAAGTGGTGGTTTGTGCTGGGTGGAAAAAGGCCCCTTCGATGATCACATTCCATCCAAGCCTGCCTGTGCTATGCGGAAGAACTCCCTCCGAGTGAATCACCTGGGGTGAATTTCCACCGTCGGCAAGATTACGAGACAAAGCACAAGCAATTGACGAAGGCTGGGGAGAATTCCATGAACCCGTGTGTCAAGAAAACGGGCATAACTTTGCCGCTGCCAACATTTTTCTTGTCATTAGAACGCTACAATATCATATTTGCACGACATGCTCATGTGTTGCTTCCCGCACCACCGGTATTTTCGAATATTTTCTTGGTGCATACGCACTTTCTAAGACAGCAGTAGGTGCCTCCATGTGCGATGGAGACGAAGGCAAAAACAGCGATAACGAAACCAAGAGATGAAACAGCCGTACGACTTCCTATTAGCACAGGCAAGGGTTGATGCCGTCCATTTGCGTTTTTTCCGAATTACAGAGACAGAGAGTCGCGCGCACGCTAGTTCTGTTCTCCCTACGACATCGCGCGTCCGCGGCCTGAATAAACACACACACACGACCCACACACAAAGGAGGACGGCGCATGTGTATATGGGCGCAAGTGATGAACAACGTGTTCTCCCTACATGATTGCAACTTTTTTCCATGGTCTCGGTGTTTGGGCGCAGGACGAATCCGAGGACGACAGCCGGACCTATTCCATCACCAGCGGGGAGGAGGATGAAGGCCACGTCAACAGCGACGAGACGGACCCGCCGCTGCGGGGCGAGCAGGACGGTTTCGACGGAGGAGGCGATGGCGGCGGCGGCGGCGGGCCGAGCAGCGGCAAGAGCTCCGACAGCGACATCCACTTCACGGTGCAGGAAACCCAGGCGATACTCCGGGTCATGGAACGTCTCGGCTGCGGGGCAACGGTAGGCCGAAAACTTTGTTTGTGCGTGTTGGGGTTAGAGGTGGCTGAGCGGAGGGGGGGGGGGGAGAGAGGGGGTGTTGCAGAGCGCGTGTTGTTTATAGCCTCACGTTGTAAAAATATTTAATTAGGGTCGTCCAGGCCTCGGGTAGGCTGAACGGTGGTGCATAACTAAATCCAACGGACAAGCCTCGAGACGCGGGGTCAAGTGGTTGAAGGGCTAGACCGCACTAATGTCACAAAAATCACGCCCAGCACAACCCTCGGAACGATCGGCCGTCGGGGATCGGTCCTGTGGGAAAATTGTTCCGTCCTCCCGAGGACCCGTGGTCATTAGACTAAGGCATGCAAAACATGAGTACTGTCCCCCCCCCCCCCTCCGCGCTCAGCCCCCAGTCGATACTGAGTATCCCCGTCACCCGGAATGTCGACCGCTTCAACCAGACCCTTGCCAGGTTCGCGTCCTTCACCCTGGAAGACTGGATGGATGAGGTCTGCGACCCGATCATCCAGGACCTCCGGGGGAGCCAGAGCTACCGCGCCTCCGGCCTCGACGCGCGGCACCGCTTCGGCCGGGAGGAGAGCATTCCTCCTCTCAAGAGGTGTGTGTGCTCCGCCAGTGTCGTGTCGGGGCGAGGCCCCGAGGCTTCCTTATGGTTCCACCTGTGAAAGGGGCTCGCCGCTCAACAACGATACTGAAAATAAAATAGGGTGCCTATCCCACCACTTTTGGGGGCGCACCTCCCCCCCCCCCACCCCCCCCCCAAGACC